TACCACATGATATTAAAAAATGCTCCACTCTAAATATTTTCAAATCTTCATATAAAAAACTACTCATCTATCGATAATGTATAATACCAATATCATACTATACTGTTGATTTTATACTGGTACCCGATTTTTGTAACATTTTTACATTGTACATCCTTAGATTAATTGTTAATACCATTTTTATATACCTACATGTAACATAATATAAGTGTTTTCTTTTATATGTAGTCTAGTTGTAATTTTAATGATTTCTGTTAAACCGCAACATATACCCACTAGGGTGTCTAGCGGCTTGTTTTTATAGTGTATATTATATAAGAATTATGAAATAAATAATTGAATTGAATCTTAAAGAGAGGTGCTGAATGTGCCATTCTTGGCTGGTTGTCTAATATTCGAAGGAATCTCTTTTGAAATAGAAGTAGGGAATGCAGCTCATTTGTATGAGCATTGCTATGGCCACCCCAGATTAAATTACAGTAATTTATATGTGAGTATATCAGGGAATTATAGATTGCCAAAAGACTTGTTTTATTCAATAGGTGGCGAATCTTATATAAGAGACCAATTGTTCTGGATATTTTTGCTTCTATATATTTAATATGTTCTTTCCAGGTAATATGTTCATCAACAATGACACCTAAAAAATTGATAGATTTTACTCTTTCAATTTGTTTCCCGGACATATCAATTTTAATATCTCTGGAGATGTGTCGTTTCTGTTTATTGAACAAGATAAATTTTGTTTTAGAATAGTTTATTGACAATTTATTTGCTTTGAACCAATCGTCCATAAGATCAAGTTCATTATTAACCTTTTCTATTAGTGATTTCAAATCTTTATCTGAGGCCAACAAATTAGTGTCGTCAGCAAATATTACACTTTTAAGAATATTGGAAACCTTAAACTTGTCATTTACATGTAATATGAATAATGTCGGCCCAAGGACTGAGCCCTGGGGCACACCGCATACTTTGTAAATCAGAGTCAATATTGTTATATGATACAATTTGCTTTCGATCTTTTAGATATGATTTAAAAAGAGATAGTTCAGACCCTTGAATTCCATAAAAATTTAATTTATCTAGAAGGATTTTATGATTAATAGTGTCAAAGGCTTTAGACAAGTCTAAAAAACACCAAGCGAATATTCATTGTTCTCCAGCGCATATCGTATGTTTTCAACAAAAGTTAAGATTGCCATAAAGGTAGAGACATTTTTCTGAAAGCCATACTGATGTATATATAATATTTCATTTTCTGTGATAAAATTACAAAGACCATAAAGTTAATAAGTTTTTCTAGAAGTTTAGAAAAAACTGGCAAGACTGAAATTGGTCTATAGTTTGAGAAATTGTCTTTTTGACCTTTTTTGAAAATTGGTGTTACCTTAGCTATTTTGAGTTTATCCGGGAAAATTCCCTGTTGAAAGGATTTATTGAATATCAAAAGTAAAGGCTGTATAAGTTCATTTTTTGCATGTTTTACAATAATCGGTTTAATATTATCAAGAGATGCTGCCTTATCTTTCAAAGTTTGTATTAATAATGACAATTCTGTTTCATCAACTGGTGTAAAGTGAAATCTATTTTCAAAATGTCCCATATTACTAATATATTCATTTGGTGTTCTGTTTGACTATGGAATTTTAGAACTTCATTTTAATCCAAGTGAAGAAAAGAATGAGTTGAATTTATTGGCAATCAACTTTTTATCATTTAGTGCAATACCATCGACCAGAAATTCGTTTTGAACCACTGTATGAAGTTGTTTTCTATTTAAAATGTCGGAGATAATATTCCAGGTGTGTTTAATATTTCCAGATGCAGTTTCAAATTGATTCTGATAGTGGGTTTTTTCTACAGCTCTCAAAATAGCTCTGAACCTTGCTTTATATATTTTATAGTTTCTTTCATTTTCTTCACTAGGGGTCTTCATAAATTTACGATAAAGATTATTTTTTTGCTTGGCTGATGTGATAATTCCATTTGTAATCCATGGCTTAGAAGTATCAACAAAAAGTTCTTTAATTTGAGAGGAAAAGATTCATTGTATATGTTTTGAAAAATATCTGAAAATATTTCGAAGCAATCATTTACATCATCGGTAGTTTGCAAAATATCCCAGTTTAAAACACTCAACTTTTGTTTGAAATTTTCAATACTCCGCTTATCAAAAATTCTATATGAAATTTCTTTGCTTGTGGACTTCCTCAATACAGTACTAGTTCATGCAAATACAGGAAAATGATCAGATATGTCCATAATTATTACATCACCATGCTTTATGTTATTTATATTAGTAAAAATATTATCAATTAGTGTAGCAGAGTGGGATGTTACTCTAGTAGGACGGTAAATAAGGGGATGGTGGTTAAATGAATAAAGCAAGTTCAAGAAGTCTTTAGTGGGGTCATGTAATTCATGCTTAAAAAGGTCAATGTTGAAATCCCCAGCCAAAACTGATAACTTCTTAGACTCGTCTACTTTAGACATGAAAGCCTTTAAGTTGATATTGAATTCATTTATGTCTATTTGTGGTGGTTTATAAATGGCAGTAATTAAAATGTTTTTTGAAGAATTATTTAATATTTCTACTGATAAGAAATCACAATTAACATCATCAAACTTTAGATCTGATCTTGACTTGACATTAATATTTTTTAAGGTAAAAATAGCTACACCACCACCTTGTGTGTCTTTCTTAGAACGATAAAAAGCATTGTAATTTGAAAATAGTGGATTGTATATACTTTCCGTACCATCTTGCAGCCATGTTTTAGATAAGACAATCACTTTCGGTAAATTTTTAGCCATTTGAGCAAAAAATAATCTAATATCATTTACTTTACTGGGAAGGCTACGAGTGTTGAAGTGAATTATAGAGAAATCATGATTTGCATTTGTATCTAATATTGATTCAAGTTGATTTAATGTTCTATAATTGCAATTTAAAATCCCTTCATTCACATTGTCATTGAATAAAGTATTTGCTTCTTCAGCAATTGTTAAGTTTTCTAATGTTGGATTGAAGATTCTATTTTCAAACATTTCCATCAAATTTCCACGGGGGACAATTTCAAGAAATTGATTTTCATCAATTACATCAAAAAATGGCAATTCCTTCCATACATCAGCATTTGACTCAACCATAAGAGGATATATACACAAAGTTCATCCACAACTCACCACCACGTAGAACCAAAAGTGTATTAGTGATCATAGGCAATAGTGAATTTCTAGCTCCTGAGAAATTTTCAAATCGTAATTGCTATAATATAATATGTAATATGTGACAGGTCTAAATATAGTTTATATCATTACTGATATCAAACCATGCACGAATAATTTTATGATAGAAAAGTAATTATATACAAAATTTAATTTCCCTCTCCCAAAATCATTATCTTGAAAGAAACATGACTATTTGATACCTTACATTTTAGGCAAGGGTCATTAATAAAGCCCAATATTCAGATCACACTTCCATATAAGGCCCTAACAACCAATTTGTCTGTTTACCAAATTCACTCAAAGAAAGAAAAAAACTCTGAACATCCATCAAATTTCTGTTTATCATAACAAATTTACAATATGAACAATAATTTGAATTCATGTAGAAATGAGAAAAATACAGAATATGTAGGAGTTGAGAGTCCTATGGGGCCTCTTCTTGCGAATCGCATTCACAAGATGGCGCCGCAGCAGCTGAAAATGAAATGTGAATTTGATCATTTGATGTTTAAGTTAAAATGTTTTCTTTGTATTATTTCAGAGGTAGACCTAGTACTCAAACCAAGCTAATTATTAGAAAGATATATTTCATAAAATGTAATTACCATGGCATAATATTCCTTGTTAACAGTCTGCCCTTCTGGCACGGCATGAGCCAACAATGGACCTTCGATGTCTATAAAAATGATAAACATGACTTTCCCCGCTGATGCTCCAAGAGCTAGCTTTGCAACGATCCCCACGGGTGTTGGAGAGTTCTTTGTTCGCCACGCACTGTTCTGTCTTGTACTATTTGGCTCAAAGTATCGAACAAAAGTTTCATCACAAGTGAGAAGATTGTTTAGAAAGTCCTCTCCCTCATCTTTGTAACGGCGCAAGAATGCAACTGAATCTTCCAGGCGATTTCTACGCTGCTCGTCGGTCAGATTCTTTGGTACCCATTTCGCAGACACCAAGGACATATTTAGAGAATTGTTAATCAGATAATGTACCCATCCTAGACTGATATTGGTTAGTTCTGAGAGTTCCCTTACAGTTATACTGCGGTCTTCATCTAACAATTGCCTCAAATGATTCATGTTAGCCTCTTTGGTTAGAAGCTTTGGCCTCCCTGACCTTGGCTCATCACTTGTTGTTTTTCTCCCCTTTTGGAATTTCTGATACCATTTGTAGATTGTGTACTTAGGCACACTGTCCCCATATGCTTTTTGGATATCCCTAATGGTATCCTGCTTGGATTTCCCTAGCAACACATTGTATGTGATGCTACTTCTCAATTGTTGTTTCATTTCATTGTTCATTTTGCTTCCATTGGCAATCCTGGCAGCCATGATTCTGATGATGTCATGGAGCAGTGTCTGATGGATCATTCTGGATCATTCCATCATATTTGTGTATGTTGTTATGTTTGTCGTTACTTTCAACCATAGCAAACAAAGACATATGCAGCATTAATCTTAATCAATTTCATTGCATTATAACATTTTTATTAAAGTAAGAAATTGCTCCGCAGAACCCGTATTCACGTTACTATGACAATCATTGTTTTGCTATTATTCAGCATATCTTATTTAATTTTTCAGGGTAGTTAGAAAAATGTCAAATGCTTCTTCACTGAAAATTTGAAAGATAAATGACAAAAAATAAAAGTTTGAACGCAAAATTAGCTTTACTTACTGAACGCCCTGTACATGTAGTTTGTACTCAGTTCAGTACACTTATAAAAACGTGGAATTTGGATCCTCAGTAAATCTTTTTTGTTTTAGTGTTAGGGGAAAGCTGTCTGGCTGCACACAATAAGTTTCGAAGAATGCACCAAGATACACCTGATCTAACGTACAGTGATGACTTGGCAAAGTCGGCACAAGAGTGGGCGAATTACTTGACTACTATCGGTTTCATGAAACATAGCGGACCTGGTCAAAATATATATTGGTCGGGTAAACCTGATAAAGATCATCCATGCGGCCCTGTCGTCGATTTTTGGTAAGGACATTGTTTCAAATTTCAATTAAGGACAGATATTCCACTGACTGTAGATGCAAAAGTATTCACATCAATAAAGAGGTTTCGGTGTACGTTTTCAGCCGAACTTATACTGCAACTTCAACTTTTAAATTTCGAAAACCCCAAATTAAAGTTGAATAGGGTTATTTAAAGTATGACGGAATGTCAAAAATATTGAATATGCGCTTGGTTGAATTTGCGCAAAGGCTATTAAGGGATCGATCATATTTATACAATCGATAGTAAAGGCAGGACTTCTCCATCGATATGTTGTAAGACTGCCCCGATCAACAAAAATCATTTCGAAAAATCAAAAGCAGACCTGAAAGCAAAATAGCTCAAATTCATGAAATTAACATTTTTGCAATCCGGCTTTATTTTATGACTTGAGACAGCTAGTTGAGAGATCCATAAATAAAGGCATATGGGTGCATTAATTCATCTATAATTGAATATAAACTAAGATTCTATCATACTTCATAGTAATCGCAATTATATACCAAAAATTCCAGAAATATGTACTAAATCTGCATTTTGTGTTATTTTTATTGTAAATGTAGAAAGTGGAGTTAACGATGGGGAAGTGACAATATAACGACATGGACATGTCTCATAATAACAAGATTAACTATTATGAATCGTACGGTTAACGTTTTAGACGTGTTAAAATTAATGACGTGGAATTGTCTTGTAATAGTGTTTACACGTTTTGTTGCTTGATAAATTGTCTGTGCTTCTGAAAATAATCGCATTATAGTATTTTTACGTTTAGACAATTTTTATGCAACTTCATTAATATGTAGAAACGTTGAAAATTAAGGCAGATATTTACATGGTGCGAGGCAAATAATATATAAAATCCTGAGGCAAAATCATCAGATTTTGAGCAGTAAATAACATTGAAGTTATTCCTTACATTAGACGATCGTAATGCATTTAATGCATCATAAAACGAAACCCTTCTTCTCAATTTTAACTTATTTACATCCATAGCAGTGGAAAGTGAGTGTAAAGCAAAAGCAAAAGTAAAGTAAAGCAACGTTGTAAACTTATTTTAGAAAAATTGAAATTAGGAACGAGTCAAGTTTTTAAATGAGTGACGAGGCTATTAATTAAAAATAGCGACGAGTCAAATTTTCAAAATGTCGAGCGACGAGGCAAAGCTCGGGGGATGCCCCCCCCCCTCAGCCATTGGGGCTGAGCTTCATTTTATCACTTTTCATTTTAAAGTTGAATTCGCGTGTATAGATTTAGACTCATTTGTATTATAACCAGTCCACACAATTCATGTGAATATTATTATTGCGGTGGGGGGAGTTTGTGTGATGTACATAGATTACAGGAAGCGCATAAATGATATAAGTGATTTTACACTCCAATACGAAGTTGTCGGCACATGATGGCGGATCTGGGAACCAACAAGGGGGCCAGGGGGCCCAAATTTCAGCACGGAAAAAAATTTTGGGCCCCTAAAACCCAAAAGTGGGCCCAAATTTTGACATTTTGAGGCCCATTTTCTTCAAAATCTGGCCTGGAATTAAAAAATAAGGTCTAAAAGGCCCAGTAATGACCAAAAAGGCCCACATTTTTGGTTCTTAAAGCCTTTTTGGTCCAAATTTTTTGGGCCCAATTTTTTTCTGAGGCCACCCAAGGGGGGTGCCGGGGACCCCAGCCCCCCCCCCCCCAGATCCGCCAGTGTGATGCTATGTAAGACGTTAAAATTCAAAGAAACCTCTCACCTCTGCTATTGTTTTCTTCACAAACATCACACTGGGTATACCAAAACAAGTGACTGATGCTTATTCTGGAAAAAGTGCGAAAATATTCCCCTTGGACCTACTTTGACCTTGGGAACACATGGCTTGCTGATAGCACTTGTCATGGTTTTCTTAAACTATTCTTTCAGGTATAACGAAAAACAGTACTATTCTTATAGTACGACCGAATCCACTAACCCAGATGAATCCACTTTGCACTTCACACAAGTATGTATTATGTTTGAATAAACAGTTGGACATTTATTCCTGAACTGATACATTCAATTAAAATTGATCCGCCAAACGATTTACTTGAAAACGCGTAGACAAGACTTTAAAGACAGGATTTAAGGAAGAAAAAATCAAGAATAAGCATTGCTCAAAATCTAGTCGGCTTGAGACCTGCATTCAAAAAATCCTTCCTGAAATGTTTAACCGATTCGTCAAAACGGTTCACCTGGAAACGTTACACAAGACTTACAAGATTTTACGACAGAAAATACAAAGATAACCGACAATAAAAACGAAGAAATTAGTTTTTGGTGATTTTTTCAAAATTATCGCATATAACTATTAACTACTATTAAGAGCGACACAGGCAGTACAATAGGTCCAGGATTCGATCCCCGGTGTGAAAGAAATGAGGGATTATGGTCCCCTTTCTTAACGGCCCTTATTGGCCCTGATTGAGTATAAGATAATTAGGGAAAGAGTTGTATTTAGGTCACCATATAAATCAATGGAGAGTAGGGCCACAATTTGATAGGACCTCCTACCCTTTTACACCTGGTCAAGCAAAACTTGATTTGGTTTGGAAAACACCTTATTATTATTATGACACAAAGTATTTTCGTCCGCTGACTTTTCTTCAGAAGAGTTACCAAGATTCAACTTAATTTAGCTGAAATCGGAAGTTTGTCGAAAGAATTTTGGCCACCATCTTGAATAATACTACCTGCAGTTAGAGTCATCCAGCTGTGAACAGTGATGATTGAGCAAATATGTCCAAAACCTAATCAGCTGTAGAATTAGGTGAGGTAAAGAAGATGCTTAAGTTTTAAAAGTAATTGGAACCCGTTATTCACACTTGCTGGAATTATGAAAAAACGCTAAAAGTGCTTTATTGGAAAGGGGTAGTGATGTGAACATACATCGTAACTGATGTGAACATACATGTTACTGACTTACTGTATATAGGATATCCATGTGACTGATGTAACAATATATACTATTTGGTGACATGATGTACATGTGATGTATTTTAGAAATATAGACCGAAGAGCAGGGCTACTAGTTTTGAATACAAAAAAGTTGGGCCCAAAAAGATTTTAGGCCAAAAAAGGCCCTGACCTAAATTTTGGCCCCCCCCCCCATGTAGGTCTACGCACAAACGTTTTCTGTACCCCGAACGACCGAAGGGAGTGAGGGGCTCGAAAGTTTTTGTGCCTAGACCTAAGGGGTGTATTCGAAACAAGTAGCCCTGCTCTGAGGTCTATATTACGATTCGAACATGAAGACTCACCAGAATATTGCAAAATCGTCAATTTCGATGTTCATTTCCACATTTTCATTTCTACTTCCGGTTGAGCGTTTGGCTGTTCCAATTTGTTTACTTACCTCCTGACCCCGACTTAAGTATTGACATTTCGGCCTATTTTATTGGTTTCACGCATATCTACTAAATTTAAATTATTGAAATTAATTCTATATATAGAGTCATCCAGCTGTGAACAGTGATGATTGAGCAAATATGTCCAAAACCTAATCAGCTGTAGAATTAGGTGAGGTAAAGAAGATGCTTAAGTTTTAAAAGTAATTGGAACCCGTTATGGTATGAGTACCGTAATCCAACACCAAATTCGAAAATTCATAACAATACTTTGCACATATGGCGTTCGTGACCAACTATAAAACGCTTACCCCCCATAGTGTTATATATCAAAATGTACCTGTTCATATAGGGGTTCGATTGATCTACATCATATTATAGGGAGTCAGGTTACTTTTTGAGATATCAGCGTCCATTTATTGTAACTCGCGTTTGCCACCACTTCCTCAATTCTGATATGACGAGCAAACGCGTAGTAGACATGCTCACGTCGGAACTATTTTTGACATACATCGCTATTTTCGTAATTCAAATGAAAGTTGAACTCCTCCTCTTCATTTTGATACCAAATAGTGGCATACTAGGTACCCTAGAAGCCAACTATGGCGTTATTTAGAACAATACCACAGGTTTTTAAATGGACTATATAGGGGTCATACCTTTTGGCGGATGGATATGGAACCTCATACCTTATTCACACTTGCTGGAATTATGAAAAAACGCTAAAAGTGCTTTATTGGAAAGGGGTAGTGATGTGAACATACATCGTAACTGATGTGAACATACATGTTACTGACTTACTGTATATAGGATATCCATGTGACTGATGTAACAATATATACTATTTGGTGACATGATGTACATGTGATGTATTTTAGAAATATAGACCGAAGAGCAGGGCTACTAGTTTTGAATACAAAAAAGTTGGGCCCAAAAAGATTTTAGGCCAAAAAAGGCCCTGACCTAAATTTTGCCCCCCCCCCCCCCCATGTAGGTCTACGCACAAACGTTTTCTGTACCCCGAACGACCGAAGGGAGTGAGGGGCTCGAAAGTTTTTGTGCCTAGACCTAAGGGGTGTATTCGAAACAAGTAGCCCTGCTCTGAGGTCTATATTACGATTCGAACATGAAGACTCACCAGAATATTGCAAAATCGTCAATTTCGATGTTCATTTCCACATTTTCATTTCTACTTCCGGTTGAGCGTTTGGCTGTTCCAATTTGTTTACTTACCTCCTGACCCCGACTTAAGTATTGACATTTCGGCCTATTTTATTGGTTTCACGCATATCTACTAAATTTAAATTATTGAAATTAATTCTATATTGCCCAGAAACAAAAAAATCACGACGGATATCCATATAACGTAGTAATCACTGAATTTTGCTAAGTTCTTTCACTGACCAATGAGTGCACTGGACGAAACACTTAGTACAGAGCCAGGGATTTGATCTCGAATATAACCCAGCTGAAGCATTGACTTTGTTCACAGTTTATAGAAGGCATGAATACAGTCATGGCATTTTATTGTATGATCTGTAAAATGAAGCCTTCTGATTGGTCAATTCTTGTGCTGTACCAATCTGTATTGCTACTGAGATTGTCCCCGTAGCAATAGAGGATCACAAGATATAAACGTTATTGAATGATTTAAAGTGCAATACATGATATATTCTGTCTCGATATTCTGTATTGGCACTCGACTTCGTCTCGTTCCAATTCAGAATTTCTCGCGTAGAATATATCAGTGGCGGATCCAGGAACCAACCGGGGGGGGGGCCAAAATTTAGGTCAGGGCCTTTTTTGGCCTAAAATCTTTTTGGGCCCAACTTTTTTTTCTGGGCCAACCTTAGGGGGGGGGGGGGCGGGCCCCATGCCCCCCCCCCCCGTATCCGCCATAGTATATCCTGTATTGCACTTCAAATCATTCAATAACTTATAGTATTGTATTTTGTTTACCACCAATGAAGGTGACCATTAGAAATACCTCTTGGGTATATCCCGTATATATGTATGGTCGTAATTTATGCAAATAATCCGGAAAGACAGACCCAGAAACCCCTTCTTGGAGGAGTCCTGTGTTTTTCATGTGCACTTATGCAAAGGCATACAAGTACACACCACAGCCTTTTTATGAGCCGTGGACCACTCAGTCAAACACACTGAAGTACTTTACGCAACAAGCAAAGTGCCTGAACCGGGGATCGAATCCAGGACCTATGCGTAATTTACCCAAATGCGAGTAGGTAGTTACCAGTTTCACCACCAGGTGGTTGATTCGGGTCAATTAACATGGCAGGTATATAAGAAAGTTCCCTTAAACTTGAATATTATCAATTTAAGTGGCTCAATTTTCATATAATCTAATCTATTTATGTGTCTGATACTAATGAAAATATGTCCAGTAAAGCAAAATATTATCTGTCCACTAAAAGAAAAGATATTTCATTTTTTGTGATTTTATAGCATGGGATTTATGGGGAATCTCCCAGAGCTAGAAGTCACATTTTTAAAGATAATTAATTTTTCAAAGTTGATAAATACTTTTTAAAACCACATTTCTAGATGTAATTTTACATGTAAATTTCAAATATGATATTACTTTGACTGAATTTTTAATTTTTAATGACGTAAATCAAGATTATTTCTACTCGCATCTGGGGAACATGTGCTCTACCGCTGAGCTATACGCGTGGACTACGATGTGATGTGACACTACATATTACTGTGTATCTCATACTTGGGTGGGTTTGAGGTAGATATCATCCGGGAATATATTTCATATCTGAGGAGCGGGCAGGATATATTGTATATGTCCCGCTCCAGACCAAATGCGGGCAGATATAATTTATCAATCCCGCTCCCGGGAATTTTTCAAAAGTTTATAAAATCTAAAAATTTTAAAAGTTTTAACTTTTAAAAGTTTAAAATTTTAAAGTTTAAAAGTTTAAATGTTACAATTTCGTTGTATTGAAGTAAAGGAATATTACGAAAATGTTAAATATAACTTGTGCTTTTTCAGTAGGCCTGTCATATCATTTGAAAATGTTCTATCTACCTCCAATCCACTCAAGTATGAGATACACCAGTTATGCACGGTCGGTTTTGAATATAGGGTATATCCATCGGGAAACATTTATATCTCCTCTTGTACCTTCGGTCCCTCGGGGAGATATAAATATATCCCTCAGGATATACCTCCCAATATCTAAGTTTCACCATGATGTTCATGTGACTGACGTGACAATAATTTTTTTCTTTTTAAAAACGATGTCATTTGAGTTATTCATATTTTATTTAAATTAAACCCCACTTAGTTAGCAACACAATAGAATGAACTGTAGTTTATTTTAAAGAATATACTGCTGTAACAAAGAAGACTGCATTGTTTTTTATTGTTTTTAAAGAATTGACACTTGGTAATTAATTATTCCCTATTCACCTAGTAGCAAATACAAAAGAAATCAAATTTTCCTAAAATTGGATCATGGGTCATTTACCTTTTATAAGAGTCAATGTGGGGTTTAAGTTGGATTACCCATTCGTACTGAAACCTTTGTTACACTAGTACCTTATCTATATTAAGATCTTATGTTTATCAATCGGATGATGACACTCTACATCTGTACTAACATGACTAAGAATTGTTTCTCCTTTGCCACTAGGTTGTTTGGAAAAATACCAAAGAGGTTGGATGTGGACTGAGTACATATAATGGAGGTACATTTGTTGTGTGCAATTATTCACCTACAGGAAATATGAATATGAGGCGTTACGGTGAAAGTCGGCCTGATGGAAAAATAAGAAATTGGAAAGAGAATGTGCTTCCACTTAAGGGACGCTAACGTCCAAAAACACTCTTCGGTGTCATTGATCTTATTTGGATAAAATATCTTTTTAATACTGGTCGATAATATGAACAACGGATTTTTCTCATTTGATTTATATATGAATGGAAAAGTAGTTTCCTTTGTATTAGTTTTTTTTCATGAAATAAAAATTACTTTCTCAGGCATTATACCAATTTTGTTTTTAGATGTTGCCCTTCATTCGATTTCCCTCTCTACTTTGTTTGAGCAAGGTTATGTGATACTTTTGGTTGAAAATGTACAACTGAAAAAATATTTGAGATATTTCGGAATTTACATTTTATTCATTCATCTTTATACTTGATGTCAAGAAAAAAACTGAACTGAAGATTATTATATCTGTATATTATTAAGTATAAAGCATCACACAAAGCCTTGCCCAAGTCGGTCTCTTTTACTCATCTTGATCTCTATTATGACTTGTACCAATGAGAAAGCCACGTGCTTAAGTTATAGCATGACGGTTACGTCAAGGCGATTTGCAAAATTTTGCGGTAACGATAGCAAAAAATGGCGGATGGGAAAGGCAGCATGTCCTCTTTCTCGTCTGTAGGCAATATTCACAGATAAGATTTGCTTTTAAACTAGTTCCATTCGGTGACGCATCAAATCTGCCAGGTGGTCTACAAGAAACAGAATATAAGCTGTAAACCTACCGACTGAGATATCCAAGTTCATAATTTTTGGTCCATTCTCGTGTTTTCTCAGTACATGTGCCTCAGAGCCACTCAAAATATTAACTGTAAGTAAACTGTGTATAAACAAGGCATAAAATGACAAATCCAGAACAGGAACGGAAACAATAAGGTTTCAAACGCAATGTCTTTAGACGACTACGTACGACTTCTATCGAAAGATATTTTGCGGACGGTTACGTGCCTGTACATCTGTCAAGATCTGATAGCCTCTTTCCATGTTATTGTTATAATGGGTAAGAAATAGAATATTGAGAACTTCCCATATTTGTTTTCAGGACTAGCAAGAGACGCTCTTGTATCAGCCTCTATAGGGCAAGGAAAAAAACTGTTGTTTGCTTTATTTATGAAACCAATGAAAGTGTAAAAGATGGCAAAGAAGAGGCAAAAGAAGATTAAGGATCAAGTACTGATGAAGATGACAAAATTAATGACAATGAATCCGGGTTTCATATTTGAATCAGGTTCGCGTAACCGTCCATCAATTTTTCACGTTACCGCAAATTCAAAATACATTATTATGGCTTAAGTAGAACATATTTAGTGGTTTCCAATGCTCGATTGGCTTTGTATGATCGTATGTAGGTTACATCTATATACCCCAAGGTTTTTAGGCAATGTAGACCATGCCCTAACCCTACTATCACACCAAACTAGTTCCCACTACGTTCTCGAAAACGGGCTTCAACTGTGTACGAACGGACTGGACCTACTAAGGACCGTTTGGGATCTATTTACAAACTTCATCGAACGTACTCGAACGGGTAGGTCCTTTAGAACTTAGACAATGCTCAAAATGTTCTCGTGGTCGTCACGTTCTACAATTAGAACGAGTGACAACGTACTAACGACGAGCTGGACGTACTACGAACGGAACCGTCGTACTTCAATCCTACTAGGGACGTTTTAACAACGAGTTGAACTGTCTGAGGACGTGTTGAGAACGAGGTAGAACTAATTGCAAACGGATTTAAACTGATTAAGAACGTATTTAACACTGCTTATTAACGAGTTAGCAAAAATATAGCTATCACACCAAACAAGTTGCCACTGCGTTCTTCAAAACTGTGTGCGAACGAAATGAACGTAGCTGCAACTTTCTAAGGTCTATTTACGAACTTTATGAACGTTCTCAGACGGGAATGTGATTTTAGAATTTTGAATCGATTCAAAATTCGATGGCGACCATACCGTTCTACAATCAGGTCATAATGACCTTCTAGACTAAGGGACGCGTTCTACGACGTTGCACACCGACCTGGTGCGACCTGAACGAACTGCGAACGAGATGAACGTATTGAAGACTGTTTAAGAACGAAGAACCTAATTATTTCAGACATATTTCCCGACCAAAGCCAGATTGAGCCCGTTTTACGACGTTTTCGTAGGACTGGCAAGAACGGGTAAGAACTAGTTTGGTGTGATAGGGGGGTTACATATTACTAAATTTTTGTGTAGTTTTGAATTTCAAACTCGACAGTTTTTTCTTTTATTTCATGTTATCCCCGGGCATCAATTTGCAAAGACTAGGTTCAAAATATACATTACTGAATGCATCGCCGAATGCGACGCTTACATAATCGTTCATCCTTTCATTGATTCACAGTAGTAGAAAATAATGCACCAACCTAAGTTTTCTCTTCCATCGCGGCCATTTTATTGGATAAATCAGTGAACGTAGCCGTCAAACCTCGCTTTCGGAGGTGGCGTAACCGTCATGCTATAACACCGTGATTATTATGCACGGTAAAGACAAGTACACTTTTCACGAACAAATCCTCCGGGGAGTCTTGCACGATTCATCATGAAAATACAAATATTTTATCAGATTAATATCAATCAGAGTTAAGTGGATGACGGAGCATCGATCGGAAACCCAGAGGTGAGAAGATTTCATCAAGAAGAAACATGGAAAAGATCGCTGAATTTGTCGAACATATTAGAGATTCAGATCAATCACTGGATTAGATCGACGACTACATTGACAACATGGACAAGGTCTTCGTGCATTTTCATCGCGAATTCAGGTTTAAATCAACACTGAATGGCATGATTTAATTTATATTAATGACTTCCAATGTACATTTAATTACATAATATATTGTAATTCTGAAGAAGTACTCGATCTGATCATTGAATTTCAAGTCGTAGACGGGTAGTTTGCTTTGTTTATGCGGGTAAACCTGAAAACGTTTTGATTGGTCAATCAGCCTGAAGTCATCACTTATCATAATATCCACGGTGTCCAACCCAAACGCTCTTACATGCACGACGGTGGGTTTCATTACAAAACCCCTATTGTCGAGACATGTGATTAGTTGAGTCAAGATTAGAGCATCAGACGAGAGTATATTTCGGTCAAATTCCAAAGCTTCAACACACCATACATTATCGTAATTGTAATTTGATGACGGAAAATCCAGTCTTGAAAATTATGACATTCTCATATTCAAGAAACGCTGCGATCTGGTTATCACAGTGAACTGGAAACACTCTGGTGCTAGTCTAGATAACTTTAGGAATTAGCTTGACTTTCCTTTCAGGAAGAGAAAAGATCTATTATACCCCTTGGCATCAAAAGAAGAAAGATATACACATATAAACTTTTTGTTTAATTTTTGTCAATAGTTCTATGCACACATGGCATAACATCATCTAATGTAGGCTTAAATCAGCTTGTTTCACGTGTAGCACCACGTGTAGCACCAGTTCTCTTATAATCTGAAAATAATATCAAAACAAAATGGTAAGAGCGTTTCTAAAATTGTGTCCAAAATCGACGGAGCGTTTCGAGGAAAACAAGCGATTTTTCAAGAACAATGCACTGGGATTTTAGCAAATTAGAATATACGAGTTTGTGATCTACTACTTTGACAGAAACATTGACATTTTCATATAAATACGAGTTTAATTCGTAATTTGTGATCAATTCGTCAACTTCAGATTCGTTTGATCAACACTACGGAGCTTTTGATCAAGCAAATAACAGCACCAGAAGTTGAATAGGTAAGATCTTTGCTCAGGGTATTGTTCATCGAATGGTACATAATATGTCACCCAAACGTATGATATGTAAGAGAAACAAGTGAAACAGTACTTACGGTCATAGTGGGATCTTCATTAGCCGCCATTTTGTTTCGCTCCGTTGCGTTTCCGCGTGAATGGAACGCTCCGTCGTGCATGTAAGAGCTAGCGTTTGGGTCGGACACCGTTATATCAGCGATGATGCATCAGATTATACAAGGCGGTAATAATTCAAGATCAGGATAAGTAAAAAAAAGTTTAAAAATACCGACTTTTATATGACTGTTTTTGTTAACATTTTTTTGTTTTTTAGTTCAATTGATTTTGTTCCTTTTTACCATTTCTTGAGAATGAAATAATATAAAATATTTCTAAATAATTTTCGCATTAAACTGTTGTCAATCAGTTAACATTACATAAAGGACCGTGTTTTTTACAGAATGTTTTCAATAATTGGTTTAAGAAAAAAAACATTGTTGAATTCAGTCCACCATATCGATACCTATCCATGGAGTGCCTTCAATGGATTTAGCATTTTTACAAGTATAACATCTAGAAATTACAGAGTTAATATGTTCAAAGCTAAGGTGTTTGTCTAAAATGATGCCTAAATGTTTATGGCTATTTACTAAAGGTATATTCTCATTATTCATTGTTACTGGAATTTGTTTCTTGACTTTTCGAGTGTGTCTGGATTGTAAGATAACCTCTTTACTCTTGGATGCTTTAAATTTGAGTTTCCATTTCATGGACCAATTCAATTAGCCATTTCATTGATATCTGATTGAATTATGTTCTGCTAAGGAGTCCACCTTGCAGTTATATAAGTATGTAAGAATGTTCTAGAGAGTACATCTTGATTGGACGTAATCTTTGGTGGCATGATTTAATTTGAGAAAATATTGAATTGTTTCAGAAGGTCAAGGGTTAATGAGTCATTCAGTCAGTTTTGTTTGCAAAATATTATATTTTATAACATTGTTACCTTGATCTAGAATCTTCTAATAAACAGCAGTTTAAGTATTTGTATACTGAACATACATCAAACTAAATGTGAAATAAATAGACTATAGAAGTCAGTACTTGAACAAAAGCCATCCTTCTGAAAAATTATGTCTAACAAGCGGCCTTCTGACTTCCCAAAACGCTTGCTGGAGACTCGCCTATTTATTGTCTATTCCTTGTAGTGGTTTTCAGAATAGAAAAGGCACCATGCAATTATTGTTCCTCTTCAACCATCCAAGGAATTTTGGACCATTGTTTTATGTGTCTTAACCCGTCCTCCCCATCTATAGAATACATCACAATCTTGCTACTCAAGACGTGTCCCCTGCGACGATCTCCGTATTTGTATTCCTTCACCGGGCCTAGCTCCATATGGCAGCTATTGCAGACTGATACTCCTTATAAAAGATATAAATAATATAAATATAAACTGTAGAAAAAGTCCTAAAAAGAAAGAAACAAAAAGAAAAAATGTTGTAAAAACGTAAAATAAAATAGTACCATGGGTACTGGGCATACATGGTGTTACTCAAAAGTGAATGATGGCTAAAATGACAGAATATAAAAAAAACGGATATAATTTTTTGAGGATTTTTTGTAACAAAATTATTTCATACAACTGCTCTTTACAAAGACATGGCTTTTTACAATGCAGGACATCTGAAATTATTTGTAAAGATAGGAAATGGGCCAAAAGTGAATTTCCCGAGACAAAAATGGTGGCCATTTTGAAAATAGGCGAGCTTTGGAAGCAGGAGTCACAGGTTTTTTTCTTTATTAATGTTGAACAAAAATATTTTAAAACGGGAATCCTATCTAAAGAGGATTTAAAAAGAGCCAAGTGTTGAAAGACAGAGGTTTTAAAACTTTTGGACTGACTGAGAGACAGATCGATAAATCAATGTTTACTAAAATGGCTGAAAAAACGGATATGACTTTTTGCCGATTTTTTGTAACAAAAGTATTTCATACAACTACTCTTTACAGTAACATGGTTTTTTACAATGCAGGACGCCTGAGATTATTTGTAAAGCTAGGAACTGGGCCATAAGTGAATTTCACGGAACAAAAATAGGCGAGCTTTTGAACCAGGAGTCATAGGGGAGTTTTCTGTATTGATGTTGAACAGAAATAACTTAAAACAGGAACCCTATCGACAGAGGTTTTAAAATGTGCCACTATTGTTGACGGAAAAGTGGATTTCGCGAGACAGATTGACAAATCAATGTTAACTAAAATGGCTGAAAGTAAAAAAAAATTGATATAATTTTTTGCTGATTTTTTGTAAAAAAATTATTTCATACAACTACTCTTTACATTGGCATGGATTTTACAATGCAGGAAACCTGAAAATATTTAATGTAAAGCTAGGAAATGGCTCAAAAGTGAATTTTGCACCATGTGAACTAATAACACACGTAAAATTGTTGGCCATTTATCAAAATGGCGGCCTACTCCCCAGCATGTCATTAGACAGTGTACCATGCTTATAGTATTTACATATCAAATATGGACAAAATCGCTCTATTATTTTTTGGGTTATTGTAAAAAAGTAAAATAAAACACGTAAAATTGGTGGCCATTTTTCGAAATGGCGGCCTACTCCCCAAATTTTTATTAGACAATGTGCAATGCTTAGCTTAAAGTATTCAAATATCAAATATGAATAGTGTGCAATGCTTATAATATTTACATTTCATATATGAACAAAATCGCTTCACCACTTTTCGAATTATAGTAAAATACGTTAAAGAGAGTGTAAAGGCGGCCATTTTTCAAGATGGCTGCGATATGCTTCTTAAATATATATTACATGAGCAAATGTCATGCTCATTTGTTAGACCATACTGTTATTTACAAGAATTTGAGAAGGTATTCCCTTCTTTTGTGCATTCCATATGTCCTGTCCAGCAGTGGAAGCATATTTTCAAGATCATATTCGGTTCAACCACCAAACATGAAATATATGAACATTTTACAGCTTTATATTTTGTATCTAAATTAGTGTAACATCCGCACTAAAATAGCCGCCATTTCTAAACGAGCGGCCATTTTGGAAATTGGCTTTTTAGCAGACTTTTTACCCCATAGGGTATATGTGTAAAATATATGAACAAAAATCGAGCCGGAATCGTACATACGGACGGAGGGAGGCGTTCCCTATATCTCTCCGAACTTCGTTCGATATGATAATGATACGAGCTGAACACTTACCTATGTGTGTATCCGTTCTGAATTGTTTTGCCTTTCCCCTTGGTTCAAGACTAATTTTTTGGAGGAAGTTGTCGGAAACACAGATGTAATCACAGGTGTTTTTTCTCAAGATATCAGTTCCCTTACATAACTCTTTGTTGCACCCTTTGTGGAACAATGTAATTGACTCTGGTTTAATCTTATACAATGGGTCCTCATTCCTTCGCTTCTTATTCCTGTACTCTTCCATCATTTTGTCCTGAAAGATCATTTTCTTTAAAGCATTCTTGCTTATTAACACTGTAGACGGTTCTGGCATATACGACAATTTCAATCGCTGTGACCGTTTTGAATGTTGGCATCTTCTGGTATTCTTATCAAGGAATGTTTTATAAACGAGATAATTTTTCTTTACCAATGCCATAAAATCATAGCCAGCTCCGTTGGGCATCAAAGTAAAATACCTTGTAGAACCCTGATAGACCTGACGAATTGAGGTATACTGTATAGCACTTACCTGTTCTCTTAATATATCTCTTTTCAGAACATCAGGGTCCTTATTGTCCAACTCCTTCAATGCCGCCTCCATCTGTTCAACTTTCAATAAATTTGCGTTTTCACGCTTCTCATTGGTTGATCCTTTCGGAACAATAAGGTAACATTGACTGTCAACATGCCTAGCTCGTCCCTTTCCTTGTACAGATCCTATCTCGTTTGAGACAAAGTTGTATCGGATAACAAAGTTACACTTTGGAATATCAAGTCCCTCTTGCACAACATCAGTTCCAACAAGAACATTTATCTTTCCTATAATACATGTGTAGCTGTAACATTTTTGTTTTCAAGTATAGTGACACACATTAAATCATCATGTTTAGAAGTACATTCTATTGTTAATGAAAATATATTGAGGTGGAAGATATTTATTCTTCGTAACACATTTAATAAAGATGCTCCAGATTTAAAAATATTTCATACCTGTCCTAAAGTGCTTCAATAATTCTCTCTGCATTTTGTCCGTTTGTGCATGGTCGCTGGCTTGTCCCTTTCCAACTATTCTATCAACGCGTACACGCGGTATCTGTAAACCTTTGATGTAATCCACCAAAGCAATCGTATATGCTTTTGTTCTTGCCAAAATCAGACCTACATGAAACATAATTAAGAACTACTGTACAATGGTAATATATAGGGTGTCTCAAAAAATGAACCAAAAGTAATTCAACAGCAAAGATAAACCAATCAATATTTTCAGATATATTTTGCATAGCCATTTAGGCAAAAGCTCTCTCCCAAATACAAAATTTTTAGTTCAGTCATGCTTTTTTAATACTTTAACCCTTTTTATACCATGTGTTAAATTTAACCTCCTCATATTTCGATAACAGCCTGCAGCCTTACTGCTACATTGTCGACCACATTTCATAATGTTTTGGTGAAATGTTTTGAATTTCTTTTCGGATGTTGGCTTCAAGTTGTTCTAGGTCTCTTGGCTTGGGATTGGTATAAATATGGTTCTTCAAGTTGCCCCAGAGTCGGGGGAATCAAATCTTGTGAATAGGGAGGCTCTCAAAATGTGGAGATCAGACATTGAAGAAACTGCTTTCATGGGAATTCTTGCGTGGCCCTTGCTGTACGTGTCTTTTTGACACTATGGTGTTCTCATTTGGATATCAATCAGTCTCCATAACTCTGGAAGGTGGAACTCCATTATCAACTGCTAAATCATTTGACGATAATTGACCCGGTTCTCGGTAAAGGGTTAAACCATCAAAAAGGCAGGACTGAACTAAAAACTATGTATTGGGGAGAAAACTTACATACTTATGTAATTTATCTACATGACCATGCAAAAAAATGTTTGAAAATATTGATTGGTTTAGCTGTGCTGTTGATATACTTTTGGTAAATCCATTTGAAACACCCAGTATAAAAACAAAATAATTTCTAAAACAATTAATATAAAACAAAAGGTACATGTAAAACGAGTATTAGCTATTAAGTACAGGATGGGACACTTGGAGATAACAAAGTTGAAAAGAAAATTGAGTATAGAATATAGGTACTGGTTAAATCTCGTCATAAACAGTTCATTAGACACACGCGACACAATGTTTAGAAAATAAGTATCTAAATAATGTATTCCTTTAACTTTGATTGACATGTAAAATTGTGAAATGAATATTCCTAGATGTCAATATAATAAGTTCGTACCTCTGAAGTCCCTATCACACACGTCTTCAAGAAGGTCCTTTAATTTTTTGATCATGGGATTAGCTTCATCAATTTCACTATCGGAAAACGCCTCAAGATTTCCCTTCTGTTCTTCTAAACTTTGCCTTAATTCGTTATCCCATACGCCGGGAGCTTTTCTTTTGGGACACAACTCCCCCTCCTCCTCTTCAATGACGCGTAGGCCGTCAATTCTCCGAAGTTGTTTTGTGGTTTCAATTGTCCTCGTGTACATGATTAAGTAGGACGCCGCAGCTGCATGTTCCCAATTTCTATCACTCTCTGCATCTTTTTTAAGACCGACTGACCATCCCTCATACCCTTCTGTACCTTCTTCGTGGTTGCACGAAAATTTATACTTTTGACATATTTTAGTCATTAGATGTTGGATAGTTGTCAAAAAGGGGTCGTCTGAGTTTCGTCCAGGGACAGCTAAAATAATGTCAATCTGAAGTGAAGGTCTAAACATCTTCAAATCATCAAGATATTTCTTTTCTCTAACATGCGTAACGGAGTTGCAATCCAAATTTGCGCACATGGTGACACAGTGATCAATGGCCCTTTCATTTTTACCAACCCCAAGAGAAGCAGTTAATCCTAAAATCTGCGGTAGGGAACCCCTTCCCGAAACAGGCTTTCGTTCCTTCTCTTGTAGGTAGAACTCCTGCATAATGACATTGTAGGGATGGCCCTTCGTCGTATGGTGGCACTCGTCTATGATAATAAAATCTAAATCAGTTATCTTGAGTCGTCCACTTTTTAATGTGTTCACCAACACTTGCGCCGTCATGAACACAACATCACGTGATTTTATCACTTCGACTACATCTGATTCGTCATCTATCATCGCCAAAACATCATCTTCAAATGGCATTAGCTTGAAATTGTCCATCTGTTGCTCTTTCAGATTAACAATGCATACGATAAAAATCGTTTTAAAATGCCTTTCTCCTTTGTGCATCATCATGGCTTCTTCCCTCAGTTTAAAGCATATGTACGCTGCTGTCAACGTTTTGCCACTACCTGTTGGGCAGCATACGATCGTGTTTTCTTTTCGTAAACTGGGTTTAGCAAGGTACTCTTGATATAGACGTAGTTGGACTTTTGTTGAGTCACCCTCATCCGAAGAATCTTCTAATGATTCACTTTCATCGCTGCTATAGTCACTAAGTATGATTGGCTTGGCTCCTAACGTGGTTTTGGGATAACTTGTACGTGATGTAAAGAATTCGGCGTCATATCGTGTTGTATACCCGTTTGGCCCAAAAGGATTTATATCTTCGTTCAGTGAAAGAAGTGATAGAGATGGTTGAATAGAGTCTTGTATTTCTAAATCTAACGATGGCTCGACACACATATCACCATTTTCCTCCTTGGGCAATGTTGATACATGTGACAATTCAAACGAAGAGTTGGCAGATTCAGTATTTAAAACATCGAGTGGAATCCTCTGTCCAGGGTCATAAGGTGGTATATGAGCTTCAAGCGTACTTGTTGACATATTTAGCTGATTTGTAGACATACTAGTATTATGTCTAGCTACGTCGGCTGGAATAGAAGTTTCAATCATATCGGCTAGGGTTCAGTTGAAAGCACATTGGTATGGCTCATTGATATATTTTGCCGCTGATGTTTTTTATAAAACTTTAGCAATCAATTGCATGTCTATTATTGTTAACTAAAAGAATGAATGTATGTATAAAAACAATTGATATATTTTATATTTCAAGCCCTTTAGCTTCTTGCAATGAAATATTTGATTCCATGGGTCAAGAACATTAATTATAATACTATATCAAATGGCGGGCCCGTAGCCAGCTTTTGCCAAAATGGTGGGGATTAAAGACAACTTTGGGCCAAAATCACACCCTGGCTACTGGCCTGAATGAGCAAGTACATATAGTTCTAGCACGTTGGCTGACTTATATTATATCAAAGTAGCCTGAATGATGTTTCAAACACATTACCCGTCATATCATTTGGTCCACTAAGTGCACTGGGTGACGAATCCAAATCAGTATCGGCAGGTGTTTCAAATGATCTAGGTTCTGTTGATATGTCTATATTTTTTTCTGAAATAAAATTACTAAGAGAGAGTGTCTCCTATAAATTGATAGGCTGCGACACACAGTTCTACAAAGGTGATTTTACTAAAAAATATAAACAGTACACATAAAGATAAATACAAGAGTGGTTGATATTAATTGATACTGCTAATTTTAACTTTTGCAAGTTAATTTATGCAACATATGTGAAATCACAAATTGCAGCTTCTCACCTTTAAAAGAGTTTACTTTCTTAACTAGATCTTCTCTATCAATGCCTGTTAATAAGTCAACCAGCATGTCCACGTTCGTGTCCCATATAATACCGATTTTGAATAGCTTTCCAAACAGGTCACGTGCGGTCTTTATACTATTTACATCATCCAAACGACCATCCACTAAGAACTTCATATCTTCCACTTCATCATCGCTCAGCTCTTTGGACAATTTCAAGATAAATTTTCTCAAATCAGTCGTCAGTGACATCGAGGTCAGTGACAGAGACGACTGGGCTATTGGTGAGTTTGCCATTGTGGTGACGACCAGATTTGTCTCAAATAAATAATGCCTGTCCTAAAATGTGAATGACCATAATTAACTCAAAATCAACAAAATATTGATGACTGTTCAAAGCATCCCCGCTGAAAAATATCTTTCGCATCTCTGTTTGACACTCGAAATATTAGATATAATTTAGATACATTAATAGATGGCAGGATAAATTCAGTTTCGAAATATGTTGATCAAAATATCTCAGTGGCAGAGTGGCGGATTCAGGAATTAATATTCAGAAGTGCTAAAAATAATAAGCGCACTTTTAGCGAGCAACCTCATGGGATGATGGGGTCTGATTACCTAGATTAACATGACCTAAAATATAACATGAAGAAGTATTAATGAGAAAAAAACAGTTCTGCATTATTTTTAACTAGGTCAAATGAGTTAGCTAGGTCAAACTTCGTATCAAAAGAACCTGACCCTACTATCACACCAAACTAGTTCTCACTACGTTCTCGAAAACGGGCTTCAACTGTGTACGAACGGACTGGACGTACTAAGAACCGTTTGGGATCTATTTACAAACTTCATCGAACGTACTTGAACGGGTAGGTCCTCTAGAACTTAGACAATGCTCAAAATGTTTTCGTGGTCGTCACGTTCTACAATTAGAACGAGTGACAACGTACTAACGACGAGCTGGACGTACTACGAACGGAACCGTCGTACTTCAATCCTACTAGGGACGTTTTAACAACGAGTGGAACTGTCTGAGGACGTGTTGAGAACGAGGTAGAACTCATTGCAAACGGGTTTAAACTGATTAAGAACGTATTTAACACTGCTTATGAACGAGTTAGCAAAAATATAGCTATCACACCAAACAAGTTGCCACTGCGTTCTTCAAAACTGGTTCTAAACTGTGTGCGAACGGAATGAACGTAGCTGCAACTTTCTAAGGTCTATTTACGAACCTTATGAACGTTCTCAGACGGGAATGTGATTTTAGAATTTTGAATCGATTCAAAATTCGATTGCGACCATACCGTTCTGTTATCAGGTCATGATGACCTTCTAGACTAAGGGACGCGTTCTACGGCGTTGCACACCGACGTGGTGCGACCTGAACGAACTGCGAACGAGATGGACGTATTGAAGACTGTTTAAGAACGAAGAAGCTAATTATTTCAGACATATTTCCCGACCACAGCCAGTTTGATCCCGTTTTACGACGTTTTCGTAGGACTGGCAAGAACGGGTAAGAACGAGTTTGGTGTGATAGGGGGGTAAGATCAGTGGCCTGCGTAAGTAATAAAAATCCTTTATCATTCTTTATTAGAAATTTAAAGCATGGTGCATGTATTAACCTCGTCCTGGACTCTTGGAACCGGATAATACTAACCCGTTTTGATAATGTAGTCGGTTGTATCGGTTGACATATGCACTCGTGCTTTTGAAGGACATGGTGCAGATTCTATTACTGCCTCCCCGTGAAAAATATAAATTCACCTGATATTCGAAAATGAATATAGTTCATTTATATGTAAAAACTAGTATCTTGTTGACCTATTTCCAGCACTGTGTTGATGAATGGGCTGATGAGAAGGTAGGTCAATAATTGTCGCGACCCTCGTGTGGTAGCGTGGTTTGAGGGTCACAAACAGAATACAGTCTAGGAATCAATAGTTTGATTATATGTTTTCATTCACTTAGTTTCGGAACAAGTTCAAGTAAAAGTTGAAAAGTGTATCCCCTATTTAATTGAACAACATCTGTGTTCACAGTACCTAACAAATGGGATAAATGGGGATAAATATATAGGGGATAAAATTGGGATAAATTTTGCTATGAAAATTTACGGGATAATTTAGGGATAAATTCTGGGATAAAAATAATTGGGATGAAGTGGGACAATTTCGGGATAACAGTTACGGGATAACAATATCTAAGTATAGGCTTAGTTAGATATCTCAGTGTTCAATGTAAATTTTATATTTCATAAAAGCAAATGGCAACAAACTCAAGATTCTGAATATGTCCAGTGTTAAATTGCATCAAATAAGTATGAAATTAGGGCGTGAGTATGACCAGGTGGAAGTCAAGTTGCAACCACTTGAGGGCTACAATGGGCTTCAAGTTGTCACTTTTCACAATTAAAGTGGGAAACTTTGTAATGCTTAAAGTAGGGCTTTTTCAAATCAGGAGTCTGTCAAACTCATCAGGGGATAATAATACTAATTCACCATTTTAACACACGAATAACAAAACAGTGGAAGTAAATGGATTTTTATATAATGTATAAAAACGACTCTATTTCTATTACTAATCTATGTGAACATTACAAAATCAGTACAGTCAAATGGTATATCAAAAACACAAATGGTATCTCATACACAATGCACAAAACAGCAAAGTCAGTGGAAGTTCAGTAAATCAATTTGCAATAAAGCCCAAAATGTGTTTCTTTCCAAAAATGTAATCAACAGTTCCGTTATGTATGATCTCTAGTGGGATTGAAATCACCTTCCTATACTACTCACATGAAAAGTGGAACGTAGTTTTCCCCACAATTAGCAAACAAAAGGGTAAGGTATTTAAGTATTCTTGCATAAAATCTGTCTATAATCGAAAAACTATATAGAATATAACTAACATAGATTTAGACCAGATATGGAAACTAAATGGGGAGGGGTAGATGGTAAACACTGACTAGAACCCCAAACAAGCAAGCGCAAGGCTAAAAGACCCCAAATGGAATCTATACCAACTCAAGCTATGTAGTCAGGGGGTGGTCATAGTGTCTAGACAGCATCTCAAATAGGCTTAAAGCCTTATGAACTGGCTTCAATACTGACTTTGACTCTGCAAGTACTGTGTGCAGAATCAGTGATCAGCTGTTTGATTATGGTCAGACAGAACGCTCGGGATCCCTTTTAAAATACCCAGGCATGAACATACACATACAAAGATACAAAAGTGTGTTTTCTAATGGGTCAATAAAAGTTACTTTGGCAAATACAATTAATACAGTCTCAAGTTGAATGTGGGGGGGGGGGTCATAAAGATTATTCAATGGAACCCTAGGAACATTGACTCTGGTTTAGAATAAGTTACATCGGTTCCTTAAGAACATAACTTTACGTACACCTTGTCAAATGTTCCATAACAATCCCGGGACCTCCCGATTCTATAATTGTTCAAAATGTTCTCTTTAAATTCAGGTTTATAAGTCAAAACAGATATATAATATGAGGAATCATTCCAAGTTAAAGGATCTAGAATAGTGAATGATGTATCTACTATAAGCAACAATCTATAGTAAGGCCAGACGTGTAAAACTGACTAGAAATAAATACAATCAGTGTTTTTGGTATAACATGTATAAGGGAGGGGTTGTAGTAAATAGTCTAAATAGTAATGGGAAGCCCAAAGAAGCCAAATGGGCTTGAAATGGCTTGCCGTGACCTTTAGGGGGGGGGGGGGGAAATTGTGGTAAATATATGGGAAGCTCTAATAAGCCAGTTGAAGCCAAATGAGCTTGAAATGGCTTGCCGTAACCTTTAAGGCTTGTCGGCACACAGTGACCCCTGTTCTTATTGACGTTTCTCCAACCAAACCGGCGGTGAAAAATCACAGACACGGGTACTGGGATTTAAATTAGGGAGTGGGTGATAAAGCCCAATTACAGTCAATTATCTGAGAAGGAGCTTTACTGTATAAGCGGGGGTTATTGCCAGTATGAAATAAGACTGAATCAGTTCAAAGTTCCAGCTGATCCAAAAGACGCTAGAAACTTTATATAATCCAAATCAACAGTAGTCCTTTAGCAATTAATCCCCTAAACAGTTTTAAATGAGTGTTTATACATGTTATACACGCTAACTGAGATAAAAAAAATAAAAGAAACTGCAGTGGTTAATTTAAGTCAAAAACCTGTCAAAATTACAATAAAATCAATCCAATTACCTTCCCCAACTTGTTCACCTAAGTTGGTATATCTGTGTTTATATAAATATCCAGTTTTGAGTTGCGATTTTGAATGTTATAATTCCAAAAAGTTATACACGTCCGGCCCGTTTCAATGCAATGGAGAGAGTCCCCAGACAAGACAGAATCACTGAGCTAAAACAGCTGATTTCCAGCCCAGCCTCGTTTTGGATAAAAGTAAACAAGCCCAGCGAAGTTTGGCTATCCCTTGAATGAAAGTTTACAGCACAGTTGCTAACATGAAACTGACCAGTTTATAGTAAAAATTATACGCTGTCATTACTCTACACAATTATGGCATAATATATACAAATATAAAGTTTATAGTTACATGATAAAAACAAGTGAGGACCCCAATTCAATAGATCTTGAATGAATAACATTGACACTCTCAATTTTAGTCCAGGGCAGCTGCCTGTCTATATCAACAACCCTTTTGCAAAATCTTAAAGAGTTCTACATATATTAAATATAACATAAATTAGAGTAACTACAAAAAGTAAGTGCAAAAGTGAAACAAAGTGACAATCCTTCAAGGCAATCCCATTACCATGCTCAAAGTAATCTGAAGGATTGTCACACTGCTCCCCCTTTTAAAAACAGTTCGTCCTCGAACTCTGAAAATACGAAGTCATGTATCAATACATCACCTAAAATAATTTACTAGCAACATTGTTTTGACTAAAGTAGTTGATAGACATATATACACAATAATATAAAATCAGTTCAATGTTTACATAAAAACCATAAGTCTAAATCAAACAAATGCTTTTAAAATCTCACCAATAATGCACAACATAGAAAGACTATCATATAACTGTATTATACAAAATGATGTTAAATGGTAACAAATGTCTCTTGTAGCATCAGTTGTTTTCTTCATCTTCTTCTTGATGATTGTGGTTCTTCTGAAGGGTTGAAGTAATATCCATATTGTTTGCACTAAGTTTATCACGAGTTCATATCATCACATATATGGATGATACAGTCATTGTCACTTGGTCTCAACCATAGAAAGAGGATATGTTCAGCATTTGGCAGTGCATAGTCTCTAGAACAATGTAAAGTTGAGATTGTCAGTCATTCTT